AAAGGTTCCTCATGAACACAATTAGATGTTCTAGAATATTCATTCACCACAATGTTGCCCATAGCTTGTCATGATCCAAACAAAAGCCTTTGCATAGTCAATAAAGCACAGATAATCATCTTTCTGTTACTCTGTGCCTTCAGCATCTGACATCATACCCTTATTCCATGTCCTCTTCTAAAACCAGCTTGAATCTTTGGAAGCTCTCTGTCAATGCACTACTGCAGCTGTTTTTGAGTTATCTTTAGCAAAATTTTATTTTCATGTGATATTAATGATTTTGTCCAATAATTTCTGCATTCCATTGTGTCACCTTTCTTTGGAGTGGGCACAAATATGAATCTATTCCAATCAGTAAGCCAGGTAGCTATCTTCCCAATTTCTTAGCATAGATGAGTTAGTGCCTCCAGTGATGTATCAGTTTGTTGAAATATTTCCATTTGAATTCCATCAATTTTTGGAGCCTTGTTTGCCAATGCCTTCAGTGATCCTTGGACATCGTTCAGTACCATTGGCTCTTGATCATATGCTACATCTTGAAATGGTTGAACATCAACCATTTCTTTCTGGTATAGTGACTGTGTAATCATTTCAACAAAATCTTCTTTTAATGCTTTCTGCATCGTTCAATATTGCAAACCAGAATTTGCAGTTTTTTTCTTCAGTTATTTTAGCTTGAGAAATGCTGAGCGTGGTTTTCCCTTTTGGTTTTCTAACTCCAGATATTTGCCCATTTCATTTTAATACTTGACTATTTTCTCAAGTTGCCTTTTGAAATTTTCTGCCCAGCTCTTTTACCTTCTCATTTCTTCCATTTGCTTTAGCATTTCTGTCCTGGAAAGCAAGTTTCAGAGTCTCTTCTGACATCCATTTTGGTATTTTCCTTCTTTCTTGTCTTCTTAATAAATTTTACTTTCTGTATGTATGGTGTTCTTGATGTCATCCCCCAACTCTTCTGGTCTTTGATTTATTAGGTCTCAAGCATCAAATCTGTTCTTGAAATGATCTCTAAATTCAGGTGGGCTATGGCCTAGGATATACTTTGACTCTTGTGGACTTGTTTTAATTTTCTTCAGCTTCATTCTGAACTTGATTATGAGTAATTTGTTAGGAAATGTTAGCCTTGTGGAGAACAAAAAAAGGTAAATATATTCAGGGCAAATAAACAAAAGTCGTCTTTTTGTCAACCCAGTGACTTCAAGGTCTAATTAACTTGTAAGTATGAGGAAACTTCCTGTTTCCTGTTCAGTTGATTTAAATCATACTATTAATTACTATTAAGAAAACAAAAATCCTCACCACTGGACCAATAAACAACATTCTTATCAATGGAGAAAAGATTGAAGTTGTCAAGGACTTCTTCTTCTTGGATCAACTATCAACACTCGTGGAAGCAGCAGTCAAGAGATCAGACGACGTATTGCACTGGGCAAATCTGCTGCACAGGAACTTTTTAAAGTATTGAAGAGCAGAGATGTCAGCTTGAGGACTAAGGTGCGCCTGACCCAGGCCATTGTGTTTTCAACAGTCTCATATGGATGCGAAAGCTGGACAGTGAATAAGGAAGATCGTAGAAGAATTGATGCCTTTGAGTTGTGGTGTTGGAGGAGAATACTGAAAGTGCCATGGACTGCCAAAAGAACCAATAGATCTGTTTTGGAAGAAGTGCAGCCAGAGTGCTCCTTGGAGGCCAGGATGGCTAAGCTTTGTCTCTTATACATATTGTCCGGAGGAAACAGTCGCTGGAGAAGGATGTCATGCTGGGTAAGGTGGAGGGTCAGAGAAAAAGAGGAAGACCCCTAAATGAGATGGATTGGCCAGGTGGCATCATTGATGGACTCAAGTGTGGCAGCGGTAGTGAGGTTGGCCCAGGATCAGACATTGTTTCGTTCTGCTGTTCATGGGGTCGCTATGAGTTGGTTCCGACTCGATGGCACCTGACAACAGCAACAAATTAATTACTATATTACTTTTATTGACCATATTGAAGTGTAGAAAAATTGAAAGTATAGCTACAGGTTTTAACATTTCAAAGTACAATTACTATTACTACTATCAAGATTGTCTTCCTAAAGCGAAAATCTGTTTTGTAAAGCGTGAAATAATATGCAGATATTTGCTCCAACTCTTCTGATAGTCAGAAACAGAGAACTTCTTAAATCTTAATGAGTTCCATGTATTCCTTAGTAGGAACCATGATGATACAATTATTAAGCTGAGTGGCTGCTACTTAAGAGGGTGGTGGTTTGAACTCACCAGCTAAATGGGAGGGGCACAGACCTGGCAATTGGCTTGGGCCTGATCTTGTAGAAATCCTATGTGGGCAGTTCTGCTCCATTCTGTAGGAAGACTATGAGCCAGAATCGACTTGACACAGCATTCTTAAACAGAAACAGTGGATGGGAGTGGGCTTGGGGTTCATGTTTGGTTCTCTAACAAAGCACAGAATATCCAAGCCTTTTAGAGGACATAAATGATAAGGGATTGTCATGGTGGAAATAATAAACATATTTTTTTCTTATATATTTTCAAAAGTAGTTGCAAATCATTGTCTTCAAGTCATATTCTATATCACAATATAATCTTCCAATGTGTTACATTTCATAATTTGTCCTTTTTTGATTTGTTTTGATTTTTAACATAGTCGATTGTTGTTCTTAAATGCCGTTCGTTAAGTCAGTTCTGATGAATAGCCACCTGTATAGGATTTCAGAGGCTTTACATCTTGGAGGAAGCAGAAAGCCACATCTTTCTCCTGTAATCCACTGCTTATCATATAGAGGCACTGCATTCCCCAACATAGTCAATTAGCAGAACAAAAACTACCAAGAACAAAGACAATTTATTTGAAAATGTTGTTGAATGTGTCCAGTTAATTTCAACTCATAGCAACCCCATGTGACAGATTGAAAGTTACTTCTGTAATTTCAAGACTTTAAAGATACAAACTAGGCTAAAATTTGTCTTGTGAATCTTGTGAATTGCAATCACTGACTGTGGCCAATTAGTAAGCAGAAACTTTGACCCTGTCACATGTGTTCTTCCCCAGTCAGATACACACCTTCACAAAATCCACAGAGACCTGTAAATATCCACCCAGGATCAGGGCCGTCACTAGGGATAATGTCATGCTGGACAGTCATTTTGGTGTCACCTCCTCTGATGTCACCTGATGTGTTTCCCACCCCCTAGCACCTCCCCAGTGATGGTACTGCCCTGAGATGTTGACGCATTGTGGCTTTATGCTTCTGAGAAAGTGAGTATAAAGAAAAATTCAAAACAACAACAACAAAACAACTTAGAGTGTGTAGAAGAGGATGGCATTCTTACTTATCAGTTTTAAACAACAGTCTTATTAAGATTGCAAACATTTGTTAGGTTTCATATGTTTCAAAAAGTTTGTGTCTAATTTTATGGCTTGCTTCCTGAATATTCCAGTAAAGAATATTGGAAATATTAAATAAATCAATGAAAACTGCTATCATTGACAATTTATATTTTTACTATCTTTTAAAATATTTGGTTTCTTTTTCCTATTCTTATTCTTTCTCACCCACTTTTATTCACTTTTTCTGCTCCAGTTCACCCCCATATTTTGGAGATAGTTGCTGTTGTTGGTTAGTGCCTTTGAGTCGATTCTGACTCATAGAGATCTTGTATAGGGTTTCCATGGAGTTACTGGTGGATTTCAACTATGGTACTTACAGTTCAAATCCACCTTGCGGTCCAGGACTTATCCTACAGCTCTACACCAGGGCTCCATTTGGATACAGTAGGCCAAGATATCCCAAAGACCATTTTGTCCAAATTGGAAAGCATTTGGTTCACACAAGTTTTCTGGATGTCCTAGGACCTAAACAGGACTTGAACTGTTCTGGCAGAACTTGAAACAAAACGAACCCTAACACCTTGATTCCCATTTCAAAGCCCCTTCATGAAACAGGCTCCTACTACTATACACAAGATACAAAATAAGGTTTCCTCTGATGGGAAACACATACATTTTACATCTTTTACAAGGTTAGTAAATTCAGGAACTCCAACAAATATAAAAGCTACGATTTTGAAGAATTCAGCAACCTAATAAATGGTAAGAGAAGGAACACAGAATATACTACCCAACGTTGTTTGGATCTCAGCTCCTTTGTGAAACTATCTGAAAGGGGAAAATTTCTTTGAAAGAGTAAAACCAACAGCCTCCACAAACGATTTCCAGCCATCTCTGGGGTGTATAAAGCATGGTTGGGTCTGAGGCATTTTCAGTTGCAGAAAATTTTAATGTCAAAGCCTTGGGTCTCAATCATTAGCATCATGTTAACATCAACTGCTGCTGCTGCTGCATAGTGCAGTCCAGTTGGTTGCGACCCATAGCGACCCTGTATAGTGTTTCTGAGAAGCAGCTGGTGAGCTTGAACCTTGCAGTTCAAATGACTTTGCAGTCTGGCGCATTAACCCACAGCACCACACCTGAAAAGGTAAATTACTTATCCAGAGTTTTTCAGTGTGTCTGGAGTGGGGCCTGAAATTTTTTTGCATTTCTAACTAGAGTTTTTGCATTTCTACCTAGAGTTTGTAACAGGTAGTATGCTAATGCTGCTGGTCCAGAGACTATACATTTGAGATCCATTGGTCTATCCAAAATTTCTACTGGTCGTATCCATTTCCAAATCATGGTACTTCAGGGTTCTCTCCACCTTTGCTAAGGAACCCCTTTCGTTCAGGGCCAGGTGGCATTTAGGGAAAATGATCTGCTTGGACTTGGCCCAAGAACATTCCTTCCCAGGCCAGTCACTGACGTGAGAAGAAACTTCAGGGCAGACAGTTGCCAAGACTGCAGCTCATAGGCAGACACCCGACTTTCTGCGGAGGGTGCCCTGGCACGTGATCCAGCGGGCGTCCACCCTCCGCCGCCTGCCGTCTCCGCCCCCACGCTCTAGGCTCCACCTTCTGAGTGGAATCGCCTTATAGCGCGAGCTTCCTGGGCGCTTGTCCCGGCCGAGATGGCGCTGCTGGGCACGCTCCTCTGCTACCTTCTGGTGGTCTGGTCCTATTGTCCCGGCTTCGGGCTGCCCCTGGCACCTGCCAGCTCCCGGGCCCCTGCTCCGGCCGTGGGTGAGTCCGCCACCCTTCTCCCGGGAACTGCTGGAAGCGCTTGCACAAAGTTAAGAAAAGTGCTCGGGGGCAGCTGGGTGCCCCTGCCGGGAACAGGCTAGCTGGGCCCGGGAGGCGTTGGGCGCTGACACCGGGTAGGCGTCGGAGAGAAAAAAAGCTAGGTTGGGTAGTCGGGGCTCAGGGAATGGAGAAATCGGCGCGGGACAGGAGGTGGGAGGACACTCTGGGGCCGTGAGAAGGTTTAGCCCATTTCCGCCTTCCATTCACTGTTTATCCCCTAGTTCGTTGTTTGTTTCTCCTTGGAAAAAGGAATCTGGTTAGTCCGACGTCCAGGGACCCAAATCTGCCCTGGGGTAGGAGGAGCTGCGGAGTTTACTCTCTCTTTAGGCATGTAAATTCAGTGGGATGGAATATCTCTGTCCGGTGCTCTGAGGTTGGCTGGACTGATAACCTCAAGGTCGGAGTTCAAACCCACCAGCCGCTACTTCGAAACTCTATACAGGATCACTATGAGTCTGAACCCACTCCAGGGCACTTAACAAGAACAGTCTTTACTGTAGTATGCTTGGAGCCTTCTTTTTTCCTTAACTGGGTGCTCATAAGCACCGTGTGGGCATCACCGATTTTGTCCTGGTGTGTAGTGCTATGGGTTAATGCGTTAGATTGCAAGATCGGTTTGAATCGAAAGGTTTAAATCAAGCTCACCAGCTATTCCTAGAAACCCTAGTGGGTCGGAATTGACTCGATGGCACTTAACAACAACAGAACAGTGTTGTTGTTAAGTGCCGTCGAGTCAGTTTCAACCTTGCAGTTCAAACCTACCTTGCAATCCAGTGCTTTATCCTACAGTACCACACCAGGTACCGCAGAGTCTCTCAAAGAGTGGTCCCCGGAGTGTGGATCCGGGACTAGCAGCAGCGACATCACCTAAACTTTTTAGAAATGAAAAGTTTCAACGCCACTCAAGATCTGCTGAATCTGAAACTAGGATGGTTCGGTCCTAACAATTTGTTTAACACATCTTCCTGGTGATTCAGAAAAGACATCAATGTGTGAGAACCATTGGTCTGGTTGTTATTAAATGCTGTTGAATTGATTGCTACTCATAGCAACCCTCTGTATAAGGTTTCCAAGGAGCGGTTGGTGAGTTTGAACTGCTGACATTGCAGTTCAAACCGACCTTATGGTTGAGTGCTTATCCTCAGCACCACACTGGGCTAGAATAAATATTTTATGAGAGATTTTATAATGCCAAACTTTACCTGTTAAAAATTAGGTGCCTCCCCAACACTCTCTTTAAAATGAATTACCATCTCTGGTAGCGTAGTGGTTACGAATCGGGCTGCGAACCTTAAGGTCAGCAGTTCGAAACTACCAGCCGCTCTGCGGGAGAAAGATGAGGCTTTCTACTCCCGTAAAGATTTACACCCTTGGAAACCCTGTACAGGGTCGCTATGGGTCGGAACCGACTCGACGGCACTTCACAACAACAACAATTGCTGCATAACAACCTTTCTCACACTGTCCAACTGCACTCATGAGTATGTCTGTTGTCCCATAAGCTTGTAATAGAATGTCTGTTGTCCCATAAGCTTGTAATAGACTTCAGAAGTCTGATCAGAGAGTAAGATGTAGCGAACACAATTTCTTGCATGCAACGTGTGTTATCACTTGTCCCTTGTACACAAAGTGCTTGCACTGCCAGACATATATAATGTTGTTAAGTGCTGTCAAGTCAGTTCCGACCCATAGCTACCCTGTATAGGGTTTCTGAGGAGTGGCTGGTGAGCTTGAATCACCAACCTTGCAGTTCAAACCGGCTTTGCTGTCCAGCTCATTAACCCACAGTGCCACACCAGAACAAAATCCATATATAATAGTGTGCTGTTAAGTGCTGTGGAGTCAGTTTCAACTCATAGTGACCCTGTATAGGGTTTATGAAGGAGCTCTGGTAGTGTAGTAGTTAAGTTGAGCTGCTAACCTCAAAGTCGATAGTTCGAAACTACCAGCCATTCCTACAGAGAAAGGTGAATCTTTCTGTTCCTGTAATGATTTGGCTTGGAAACCCTATAAAGGGTCTCTTGAGTTAGAACAGACTCCACCGCACCACCACCATCACCATAGGGTTTCTGTGGAGCAGCTGGTGGGTTTGAACCAACGACCTTGTGATTAGCAGTCTGGTGCTTATCCTACATAAAGCATCACTGTTCATGGAATGCCAACAGAATCTCCACCCTTCAAGAAAGGGGTCTTGCCTTCTACCGATTAAAAATAATTAGGTGAGGCAGAGTTCCTATAGGAGTAAAATACAGGAAAGAGGCTTGCAAGCAGAAACTGGGAGGGCTTAACACAATGCTTAAACCTGAAGAATGTTTTGCTGGGGTTTAGAAGGTTTGGGGTAGGGAAAAGACATCACGCTTATACATAAGGAAAGGTAAGGATTTCTGGGAAACGGCCCATTTAGGAGGGGCCATACTAATTGGGTGTATGTAGATCATTTCTTCAAGATTGATTCCATTGCAAAGTCCTCTGGTAGGAGCAGACAGAACTTTGGTATGTTGAGCATGTGTGGTTCTTTGGGACTCTAATTCAGATTCGTCCCAGGGGTTAGTATTCTTCCTTGCCCCAGTAGAAGGTTGTCCTATAAAGTTATGTGTTGGGCTCTAGGTAAACCAGTCCTACCTGTAAAATGTCTCCCAAGGAAGTAAAAATACAGAATTTTTATGTCTTCTTTAATGGCCAAGTTTCATAGAACATGGAATTTCTATGGCTGGTCTTTCTTAATGCCATGTCGTAGGATGTGTTTGCTGAACTATGGCCCTGGGCATGACCTGCACATCTTTACGTTTGCCCAAGTTAAGACTCAACATTCCTCAAGACTTTGGTAAGAAGATTTCAGTTAATAAGTGGCTCGTGTATATTCCTGATTTCTGGACCCCTTTTTCCCTGTCTCAACACCAGGACTCAACATAATAGTATGGTATATATATAAGCTATAACGGATATAAGCTGTAACGTATATATATATAAGCTATAATGTGTATATATATATACATATATATTGTTGTTGTCAGGTGCCATAGAGTCGGAACCGACTCATAGTGACCCCATGCACAGCAGAATGAAACAATGTCTGATCCTGGGCCAACCTCACTACCGCTGCCACACTTGAGTCCATCAATGATGCCACCTGGCCAATCCATCTCGTTAGGGGTCTTCCTCT